ATCTACGTGAGCGAGTTTAGTATTACGCCGCACTCGGCAATATTCCAGCTATATGGCGGTATTTATCCAATTATACCAGTACATCTTTTTTATCATTTTATTACCATTAAAACAATTATAACATATACTTTACACTCATAGCTTTGTGTAATAATTTAGGTAATCAATTATTGAACCTCTTAGCCTTACAATGCATCGACACAAGTCACGTATAACATTTCTAAAAGAATCATTGTTTCAATTATTTGATTTACAGATACGTATTGTGGATCCACTGACTTGTTGGAGATTGACAAGAGGCTTGGCTTGGTAATCATTTATAGTTACACCATACCATGCTCCCAATTTCATTAAAGGAAATCTTAAAACAATATTTTTTTATTCATCAGCATTTAGTCAAAACAAGTAAACACTAAATAGATACATAGAATAAATTTCTTTATCTTTGTGAAAAATATAATCACTCAAAATGTAACAGTGCGTGGATTCCAGTGTAACCATAAGTTTAACATATGTTATATATGGGATTACACTTTCATAAGTTAAGATATGTTGATATGTTTTTCAGTTCCAAGAAAAAGACCCAGTTTTCTGTCCGCACTGCCAGTCGTTTGTTTCAAGGAAACAAGGAATCGTCTGGAATGGACGGCAGTTTCTCATCAGGTTAGTCCAAAATACTTCACTTCATAGGTTTCATTTAACGACTTCAGTTTGATCTATCCATTGCTATCCATCATATATCAATAATGAATATATTTAATTATTGTAATTTGTTTGATTGGCATTTAGAAGTTGGTGACAAATAAGAAAGTAAGAGAGTTTATGGATAACAACTTCTTTATTATATATGATGCGACGTTTCGGTATGGATTCTTATACCGTTGTCGAGCAAGAGTGTAATTATTGTATACCAGATATGTAACTGTAACTGAAAGTGAATAAGTTGTGTTACACATTTTACAGTTTTTAAATTAAATTAAAGGTCACATAAAAAAATGATATTTTATGTTACTATATTGCTGGGAAAGTTTCCTTAGAGAGTTGATAAAACTAAGAAATACCCACGATTTTTCATTCATGGGAAATGTTAGGTTTTGTATGCTTTTCTCAGTTGAGTTGGTCATTTCAATTTGAATAAGATCACATATATAATTATGTGTTACATTCAGTGTTTAAACATAATTCGTATCTATTTAAAATATGTATGTGCCGTTTTACATATGCTTCGATTTCAATTGGCGATTTGGTAGTAGATGTTACCTTGAATATGAGTACAGTAACAGTAATAAATATTACAACAATTTGCTTCAGAATACTAGGTTGGCTGCTATTTTCTGGTACCAATCAATAAAATAAGTGACATGTCAAATGGAAGATACAATATACATGTATACTACATATCTTTCCTTTGTGATTGTGAAAAAATTTGGTTACATATACAAATTAGTCGTTCTAATTATATAATTTCATTGTGATCAGATGTACCACTGCATGTTTATGAATATGTATAAATGTGTTACTTTGGCTGTTTTGCAGTTTTACTAAGCATTGTATGTATTGTATTTGCAGGATGATGAAGAGTCTGTGTGGGATGATAAGGATGGCAACGATGTTGTGCCAGACATCAACCAGGACTCTTCATATTCACCCACAGATCTTAAGTAGAGCATACACCATCTGTTTGCGGTTGTGGACTGGTTCAAGCCTTGTTGTAATCAACTTGGTTATATTTCCCCTTTCTGTGTGGCAAAACTCAGGCTCAACTCAAGGCTCTGCGTCATATGTACCACATCAGAGGATTGTTGGCTGCTCAGTGTGAGTGCAACAGAAGCTTCATGGTTGTAAGCAAGTTGCCAAGTCTTTACTATGTGAGATTGTTAGTGTGTATATGTTAAGATACATTGAGACAGCTTCAAATGTACACTTCATGTATATGTATATGGGCCCATGACCTTTCATACAATAAACATTTGAATTTGATTTGAAATCTGTTTTATAAATACCACAGCGAATATGTTATGCCTGCACTAGTAGACCTCATTTCATCATATGCATAAAATGTTGTAGGGCTTTGACATATTTGTATTTGCATATTCATACAGAATTTGTTTTCTCCAATGCTGAAAATTCCCTTTTGATATGGGCATGCATGCATGCATGCAGACAGACAGACAGACAGACAGACAGACAGACACACACACACACACACAGACACACACACAGACACACACACAGACACACCCACAGACACACACACACACACACATTGTTGAGTACTGTTGAAATGTGAGCTATTCACAATAATGAAACAGATGAATCATAACAGTGCATGTGTCACTGTGTTTGTTGTTTTTCGGGTACAATGTAATAAATTGTACATTCACAAGTTATGCAGAATGGTAGTGAGTGAGTTGCATAGTCACATCGGTAGCCATATCGTGACTATGAAAGTCGTAACTCTAAATTTGTAAATGTGTACATGAAATAAAAACAAACTTATATACTTACCTGTCTTCGAAGGACAGTAAAATAACCAATCTATCACAAATGTACACTAAAACTGGCATGTAACCATAAACACTTTACCGGTACAGTATAAAAATGAGCTATAGATTGCCAACACCTGAAGGTTGATCAACATACTAGGGACTACGGCACGAACAGTACTTTTGCTTCCTGCATTGACCCTAACTGGATTCTGTAAACAGAAATTATCTTGCAAATGTAACAATAAGTAAATATAGTCCCCCAATGGAACAGCACAAAGCTAATTATAAGTTTGCCATTTCATCTAAGCTGAAACCAACAGAAACCTAGCGGAAACCTACATTACCCAGTATCCAATAGGTTTCCTCAATAGCGGAAACAAAGTCATTTCTCTTTGAATGTTTCAGCGAACTGAAACTAAATGGAAACGCATAATGATAGTTTCAGTTGTAGAAACTTGACGGAAACCTAGATTTGTTAGTTTCAGTTTTGTAAACTATGCGGAAACTCGCATTGTCTGTTTCCGGATACTGAAACCTAGCGGAAACCTACATTACCCAGTATCCGTTAGGTTTCCGCAAAAACGGAAACTAAGTTATTTTTGCTGTGCTACTGATCAAAGAAGTTAGAAAGTCGTGGTCCATGCTGTCCCACTATCGGACCACCTCTTCTTTCATGTCAGCAATATTTGTCAGATTTTTCTTTTTGACGCTTTCCTTCATAAGTCCCCAAACATTTTCTATTGGATTTAGGTCAGGGCTATAGCTTGGCCAATCTAATAATGTCATATTTTGGGTCTGAAACCAAGCCTGTGAATGCTTTGAACGATGTTTTGGGTCGTTGTCCTGCTGGAAAATCCAAAAATTTCCATTGAACACGTGAGCAGATGGAAGTAAATGTCCCTCGAGAATATATGTGTACCGCTCACTGTTCTTATTCCCTTCAAATACACAGAGGGGCGTTGCCCCTGACACACAGATATGACACCCCACACGTTCCGTTTCGGACTGTTTTTGGGGTGCTGATATAAAGGTTTGTTTGTTAGGTCCAGAATCTCAATGTATAAGGAAACAGCCACACGGAACTTTCATCTGAGAAAATCACATTGTCCCAGTTAAAATTTCTGTGCTGTAAGCACCGGTTCAACCTTCGCTCCTTTTGTTCAGGTTTCATGATCGGTGATGGAATTCCTCAACTTTTCTGCCAACCTATTGCATGCAGCTCAGTTCTAATTGTCTCCTTGCAGACAGCCACAGTTCCTCTATCAATCATATCCAGTCTTAAGTTTTCTTAACTCCTTCGTTTGTATTTAGAAACAAGAATGTCATCGACAGTCAATTATCTGGGCCTACCTGCGCCTCCCCGGTGCTCAATGCCAGATCCATTTGCAATATTTTTCAAAACACGATAAACAGTGGACAAAGGGATGCCTGTTCTACTTGAAATCACTTTAGCTGATCTGATGTCCTTGTTATAATACTCTAAAATCAACTTCCTCTTCTCTAAATCATCCATAATGAGGATCAATGAACATGTCGTCTGCTAGCAAGTAAACAAAGGGAGATAACTCTTCACAAACTAATGAAAAAGGAATAACGGAGTTGTCTCTCTTGAATGAAACCAAGCACTTGATAGCTGGTCAAGGTTGTTTTATACTAGAAATCTAAATAAACATATTCCTGAAATGCTCAATCATATCGTAGATATGGGAGCACATGTTGTTTAAAATAACAGAGAAGCCTTACATATATGTCTCGTCGGTCACTTTAAGCAGCATGTATTCTATATTCACTTGCATTGATATCATGTTTATGCATTTCGTTCTTCGCGGCTTTGGGTTTGTGTCGGTACAGGATTACTTATACCCGTAATGAGTGATACATCCACTCACTTCTTTTGGCCTTCACTCGTCTTGTCCTCGATATCGGGTGGCTTTATCACTCTGCTAAACCATTCGTTATTGCTTCTGTTCTTGTCCTTTTCCCTCCTTCTTACTTATGAGTATGATAATTGCACACTGAGACTGTCTAGGGCTTCTGAAGGGTCCGTTAAAGAAGAGGATATTGAGCACATCTTTTATGAACCTGTCACTCACCTCATTTGCTGTGTGCTCGTCCATTATGCATCTCATCGCTCTCACCTATACTGGTGTCAGACTGCATGAAGCGGTAAGGAGCAGAATACGGTTGTGAAAGGTGTACAATGACATTCATAATACTGAAAATGACACTTTCTAATTAATGAATGCACTTAATGTCCATATGATTACAAAGAAGGGTTCTATGATTGGACATTTCTGATTCATTAAACTTCACACTACTCCGCACTTTTGTCACGATTCCACAATATTTCACAATATTTCATCTATTGCTTGATGTAATAAATGCAAAATATTTATCTAAAACCAACAAATCGCTGCCGAAAGCAGTTCGTGAACGTGCGTCCACGAATCACTTTTAAGTAGTGATAATGCCAGATGTTCGCAAAAATTGGGTTGTGGGAGGAAATCTGAGAATAAAAAAAGGAACAGTGCCATGAAGTGATGTTCCCTTATTATATTATTATAAACTTACTTTTCATCATTTATTTTGAAGTAAATAACTACAATTTTTGTATACAGGCACATCAACCTCTGAATGTTCTGCATGATTTGGCTGGGAGAAATATGCCAGATAGAGTAATTGGACTGGTAAGAAACAAATCAAACACTTCATCTCTTCATGAGTTAATTGGAAATGTTCTTTTAATTATATGTGCATGTTTGTTCAGCATAATTCTTATAACCCGAATATCTGAATAAAGCCATATTTTTTGCAATTATGTCTAAAGGAATGTAGAAAATATACCACGCTCACCTACACAGACTTCCATACATTAGGTTTCCACGCTAAATATGTCTGCGACACAATTTCTCACTTTGCTGTAATCTACTCTGATGTCATTTACTGACTGCTTTAGAATATTGCCATAAGGTGTTTTTTTGTAATTCGTTTTACAATTCATTTTATTGTGTGTTAAAATTGAAAGTAGTAGATATGTTTCAAATTTGGATCTCTATCTCTATATGAAACCGTTTGTATCCGTTGCTTTTATCCTGTCGAAGAAGCTACCCATCATAGTGATGAAATGCGTACACAATTGTTGTCAACTGAAGATTTATCTTACGATCTGTAACTAGGTCACTCTGTTCACCCACAAGTTGTCTCAACGTCAGATCGGAATCAGTTCTGGCCTTATGACCATCACGAAGGACACTATCCTAACGGTATGTTGAATACATATACATATTCCTCAACCACAATGGTATTTGCCAGGTTGTTAACTAACACAGTTATATTCTCGACTAAATATATCACATAATATCCATACAAAGCTTCTCTTATGAACGTATCTGTCCTACAATTACGTTGCTTCGTGAAGAACCAGTTAGAATTCACTTCAACAAACCATATTGAACATGATCAGTATGCAGGGTCGTTGGTTAGGTTAACTCATAACTTTTGCCCCTTTGTTTGTACAGATCATCGGTACCCACCTCACCTACGTTTTCATTGTGATCCAGTTTAAACCGGAATCAAGTGGTGGATGTCGACTGGGTGGAAACACTACGGCAATATAGTTGAACCGACTAATACTTGACTTTGAACCTTTCGTTATTCAGTGGGATAGTTATTTCGTGTCACATTGGCTGTTTTTTAGCTAATTGTGAATAAAGCAAGTTATACATTGATAATACATGTGTAGACCATACAACCCGTCCAGTTGGAAAATTAACAGTTAAAAATAAAAGGACTGCTACGATTAAAACCAGTTGGAATTATAAATACTTTGAATGTAACGGGACCTACGTACCTTCTCAGGACAGACATTCTTTTGTTATAGCCACTAACCATCTCAATTATGTATTCAGTCATCTAAATTAATACATTTTACTTACTTTTTACAATATATATACTTAGCAAAAATTATCAATTGATTCAATATATTTTTAAACCTCAGTAAGTAAATGTGTACTGAGTTTAAAAGGATCCTTCATGCATGCTGTGGTTCTTTCATTATAAGGGATACAGAACCTTATCTCACCTTCATGTAAAATACTTTAATTTCATTGGTGAATGACGCGTTAACAAGTTTCCGTGTCACCCCTCCCCGGAGGATGACAACTGGAGAAAAAATATTACCCGCTTCCGCGGTAACCGCCAAACTCTCCGCCGAGAAGCTGTATAGCTAACAATTGTATGACGTCATAATATGACGCATGCAGTGCACGGAGTTCGAAAACCGTTCGATTAGCTGTTTTGGAGTTCACCATGTACACATTTATTTTACCTACTTTCACAGCTTTATTTCAACTATTTTATACCTTAACTCATTTGCACACCCAACTTAAACACAACTGACCATTTTTATAGCAGTTTAAAAGTTGTCAGAATATGTTTCACTGATTTTTAAAATGAAGTCGAGAGGCAGACGCCATTTTGTTTAAATGTCATATAGTCGGTAGCGATCTTCAAGATGAAATAAAATGATATTTTGTACATTTAACATGGCGGTAAGATAAGTATGTTGTATGCCTCTCCCTCGGGTAATACGGTCTGATATATGCCTCTTTGTAGCAGTGTTATCCCTAGCCTACCGTCTTGGGTAACACTGCTACAAAGAGGAATACATCAGACTGTATTACCCTCGAGAGGAGCATACAACTTATATTGCAACAAATATCCATGTGCATATCTTAAAGGGCCAACGTGACATCGTCTTAAAATGACCTTTTCAAATCTAGACAGACGACAGATCTAGCTATATGTGTTTATTATAGATGCTTTCATTGGATGTATTATATTTACGGGTGTCTCACTTCTTTTGGATTAGATCCCTGATGTAACATCTAACGACAGGTTTTTAATCACTGAGAGGGATAAGCAGTGGTGTCACTCTGTGTTCTTCGGTACTGTTGGACGTTTTTAAATAATGATCTTCTCCCGTTTAATAGTTGTACTGACGGTTATGGCTTCACTTTATGTGGAATAAATATTCCAGCGCTGATGTTTGTGTTGGGAAACTATTAAGCCGAAACCTGTTTCTACCTGAAGAAATTATTGATGTTTTTGAAACGATGTAAAACGAAATTCCCGCCCCCTCTATATTTGCTGTTTGTAACAAGGAAAGAGGACTGAGACTTTTTCCTTTACGGCTCTCCATTGGGATCGTATTTATAACATACCCATCAGTCTTATATGATGCCAGAGGGTTTACATTTTGTACAAGTCTGCATTTCGTTGGTTTGCCTTACATTGGCTTCTGTAATGGAATGCTTCATTCAGAACTTTCTTCCTACATCAGGTTGACACAGCCACAAATGATGTCTACAATTTATCAGAGTCTAACAGACTACTTATCAAACCAGACCAGGGTAGACTGACATAAATGATATTATTAACGTGGAAGCTAAAGACCAAGTCGGGAATCAATAGGACTTTGTAAGTGCCATGTCTGAAAATGAGCTGACGGTGCGTCGGGGATGAAAGGTTTCAGTGACAAAGTTAGGTTTATGTCGTGTGCCGGCTTTCAGTGGTACAAGCAGTGTTGCCTGTAAATGGGAAAGACAATACCCTTAACTCGGCCACTCACTTAATCAGACACCTACGACAGATTCAACAGATTTATTATTTTCATGCAAATATTTTCGATTGTCACTCAGTGTTCGACATGACGCTGACAACACTTTCCTTATGGCTGCTTTCCTGTAAATTCAAATTATTCCTTGATATTTAAACAAACCGTATCCGCTACTGCATTAAGAACCCGTTTGTTCAATTGCATAACAAACTTTAGCTGGAGGGGAACACATATGTGCCACAACTTGATCGATAGATCAATTCAGATTACTTTCAATATTATGTTTTCCATTAAAGGCTTTTAAAGTGTTTATCCAGCAATTGGCAACGACATGCAAATAAATATATGTGTGTATTCCATGTTTTACGTCTTGAATTAACTGATGCATCATGTAGACTTTTAAGCCAATTTCAGGTGAAATGTATTTCAGAATAGAACAATAACATGCTTCCTGAACGGAGAATACAAAACCCAGTCTGATGAAGATGTCAGTTGTTTTCAAACATTCCATATACAGATGCCGTAGAGGAAAACATTGACAAGCATTCAAATGCTGATAGCATTGTTCCGGTATTTATGGGACGAAATCAGCAAAATGGTGCAACGGTTCGACGGTAACTTTCAAGATATATTCACGAATGTTGTGCATATGTAACCATTCTTTTTGTAAGAAGATAAGACGATTTGCAAGTTATTCTTTCAAGACTTTCCAAAAGGAATCTTTTGATACATGTTATTGTTAATATATTTTCAAGGTTTATTCAAATGTCCATTGCATACAAATCCATATTTCACTGGTTTCATTTACAAAGAACACTTGAACAGAAACAAAATATACATGCTTCATTTTAGACTTTTCACATAAGACTATGAAACCCTGATACAATCATCAATTACAATTACAATGTGTCCTACCCTGTCATACAATGTTTGGTTGATTCCATCTTAATGATATAATGATGCTGTACAGTCTTATGTGATAATAAGGACATTTATAGTGCGCTAATCTCCATTCACTAGGTAAATGCTCATATCGGTAACAATCAAAGCACAGCACATTATTTACCCGGATTTCCCAAGCTGCCTATGAGGCTCAAGAAGGTTAATAGTCACATGACTTATTCCACCGGGTACCCATTTTCTGCTGGGCGAACAGAGGTAATTTTGAACAAACTCACTTGCCTAAGGTGAGACCACATGTATCACAAGAGATTCGCTGTGGGACAGGACTGAACTCCTAGAAACTCTCAGGAGTCCAGCTGCCAAACACGGTCACCAGTCCAAGTACTCTCCGTCCCCAAAGTTGCTAAACTTCAACTGATTTGTGAGCTGAGCTCCACGCACAGGACCACACACCCCACACCAATGGGTTACAAAATGTACATTCTATACAATTGTATAATTGATTTGACTTAAATTGGACTCTGTGACAGGAAACAAAAGAAGAAAGAAATATGATGTAATTAACTATTGTATTCTAACATTGACTAAATGCCCAAATCAATGCAAATAAATTCAGCTATGTATTGTATGGCAGTAACTATGTTCAGAGTCAGTAAAATACAAGAGCAGGGACTATATAGCCATAAAGACAATGATGCAATACAATCCACCTCTCAGCAACAGTAATCCAACTTGCAGCTGGAGAGGGTGCGATCACAACACAAAATGCTGGTCCTCTCGTTACTTGTTACTAATGATGCAATGTGAGATGAGAGGCAAGAGTTAACTCCTTTTACAAACAGGTCTTCTGAAATGAGGTCTTTTTAGCCCTTTCCAGATCATTCGAATATTCTGTGAGTCAGAAGACGTTGAAAGTCTCTAGAAGTCTAAGTATAGCCAACCACTGCCACTTACTGAATCCTACAGTACGATGTAAAGCAATTGAAACACTGTTGCACAAGTACACTGCCTCATAACAACACCCATTATATCGGATGAACTATGGTCAGTTACAATTTGGCCTTACCTTAAGAGATTAAGTATCAACAAACACTATTGCAGATAGATATAAATGATGTTATTCATGATAGTCAATGCCATGTATTTCCTCGTTAACGAATTCACCCTATAATTCATCGTAATGGCATTCTACACTCTCCAATTTGACATACAGGTCCTAGATATTTTTGAGGAACAGAATTCCATAACATCAAACTCAAAGGTTGTTTTCATGCTTTGAAAATGCTTTCATATTTACATTTGCACAGGCCGAGATGACAAACTGTAGTTTTCAAATGCGACAATATTTGCTTGAAATTACAACAGACCTTATCAGTTAATGCATTAAGAACCCATCAGTACAACCGCAAACATATTTGACTTCATGGAATAATGTGCCATAGCTTGATTGGCAAATTGTTTCAGATAGCTTTGCATTTCCACTTCCATTGAAAGCTTTTAACTCTTTAGGCTTGTAATGTGATTGTAATTACAGTCAGACGCATACTGTTATATTTACTCACACTGGATTCGCCTCAGCGCTTGAGAGCATTTTAGAACGTTTGTGATATTGAATTGTGTTCAGAGTTAACTAATGCATCGTCACACAAACTATTACTTCTAATACTGGTCACATTGCGTTGAGAATAGCACGAGCGGAAGGTGCAGTCTGAGTATTCATCACACATTTGTCATCCAGTCTGTGGAAGATGTTTAAGGTTGTGAACAATGCCGTTGGTTCATCTAGTGAAACAGATGACGTACAGGACACACTGACATGTATCCAGAGACTGATAGCATTGTCCGGATCATCATGGGATTATCAGCAACCGAAGTTAGGAAAATGCTGCAACGGTTGGACGGTAGCTTCCCGAATATATTCATTAGTGGTGTGCATAATTTACATTCTCAACTGTATCCAGATGATTCCGTCGTATATCGCCGCTAAATCTTTCATCGACGCAAGTCTTACCATTGTAAACCACATTGTGGCGCTGTTAACTTTAACCTATTGGGCTCTCAGTACCAACATCCACAGCAAGGTTCACCTATTCTACAAACGTCTTCAGGAAGTACGGTTGAAGTTTAACAGTTGTGTTCCAGCAAAGAGACTGAGGCAGAGGGTGAAGTGGACATGTGTATGCATTACGATCTTCGCAGCATTCATTGGTGTGGCCACCGGATTATTCACAAACATGTTAGGTGATACATCCACTTATTTCTTTTGGCCGTCACTCGTTTTGTCTTCGATAGCAAGTGGTTGCATGGTTTTGCTAAACCATTCGTTATTGCTTCTGTTTTTGTCTATCTCCCTTCTTCTTACTTATGAGTATGATAATTGCACACTGAGATTGGTCAGGGCCTCTGAAGGGTCCATGAAAGAAGAGGAGATTGAGGACATTCGAGGCTACCATGCATCCTTAACAGACCTTGTGGAACATGTGTGTTCCCTCATGTCCAGACACGTGGCTGCTGGCTACGTCAGCTCCTTCCTCGCTGTGTGTTTCTGTCTGTACAACATCATCAACGATGACAAGTCTTTTACGACCCTGGCCGTCACCTCATTTGCTGTGGGCTCGTCCATTACTCATCTCATCGCTCTCACCTATACTGGTGTCAGACTCCATGAAGCGGTAAGTGTTAGAATATTGTTGTAAAGGTGAACAATGACATACATAATACAGAAAAATGATGCATTCTACAAACTAAATGTACTGAATGCCCATATCATCACAAATAGATTCTATGGTTGGACATGATTCATAAAGCTTTCATTGGACTTTTTCTAATGCTTTCTTCTTTCTAGGACGAACCCATGTCAACCGTTTTCATGATTTCACAATATTTCAATCCAAATGAATTTGATAATAATGCTAATTGTTATGACATATGAGTGACATTATTAAATTTTGCCGTCTCTACCATTCGTCCATTAATTTAAATCAGATGTTTGGGACATGACAAGAGAACCGAACCATCTTGAAATAGTGATAATTCCAGGTGTTAGAACATTTTTTTGACAGTTTAAGTTCTCATTAAAAACTTTTTTCTTCTATCATTTATTATGTCTTAGTAAAAACTGAGGTTTTTCATCATTTATTTTGAAGTAAATAACTGCAATGTTTGTATACAGGCACATCAACCTCTGACTATTCTGCATGATTTGGCTGGGAGAAATATGCCAGATAGAGTAATTGGACTGGTAAGAAAACAATTGTAACTGTTTGCTGAGTGACAACTCTTCTTGAGTTATTTGTATATGTTCTTTTAATTATACATGCATGTTTGTTGATCAAAATTCCTGCGTCTGGCTGAATAGGTCAATGTTTAGTGCAATTATATCAAAATGAACGTAGGAAATATTCCAAGCCCACCTTCACTGACTTCAATATATAAGGATTCTACACTTACTAAATACCTCTGCAACACACTTTCTCACTTCGCTGTAATCTCCCCCTCATATATGAATGATTTTCAGAATACAACATTGGCAGATACAGTCGGAAACATTTCTACTGATATCTGATCCATGCTGACTGACTCGTGTCAATAATGTTTCCCCAACTTATAAACCTCATGTGACGTCATCCTATTGTCTTGGCACAAGATTATTTCTCTATAAGTTTTTTTATGTTTCTTTTATTTTTATGGAAATCCCCGGAGTATTAGATGTAATCCCTTGGAATTTATATAGAATCCCGGAGATATCACCTCATGACTTGTACAGTATACTTTCTTCTTGGAAGGACACCAAAACAGAATTTCAGAATATATTTAGTGAAAGCTGGAGGTAACGTGTTTGGCAGGAATGGACATTGTATGAACATTGGGAGCATTTATGTCCTCGGAGCCAACTTCGGATTCCGCCTGAGCTTCAACAGGGTCAGTGGGCGTGGTGTTGGACGTTGTGCGTGTCCGTTTTGTAAAGAAAGTAGACACAACCTCTTGCTGCTCGTCAGAGGAATGCTTATAGGTCCGTAAGGCCTTCCTTCAGTGACTGTAAGCAATGGGTATACTTTTAAGAACAACTTTACGAGGTTTACGTTTCTCTCTGGGGTTTTGTATGTTCTAAGCATGTAAAATGACTATTAAATTTTTTTATCCTCCACAAGTTGTTAGGAATAAATTATTTTGCCATACTCATACATAGCCAGAGTTTATAGCTGACACTATTTCCAAAGAGAAAAATCGATTGCAATTGACACAAATATTTGACTACAAATAGACGACAATGTGAATAAGAGGACCAATTTTTTGTATCAAATTGTTGCTAAAGGATCATATGGTCCTCTATAGGACTTACAAATCTGAGTAACGGACCTGTTACATTGCAGATGAGTTCCTCTTCCACGTTAGCCTGGAATAGTCGCATGGCCGCCGTAGCTCGCAGGGTGTGATTTGTTTTGCCTCTTACCCCACCTGCTTCACACAATCGCTTGATAGTGCCCTGTAGGGCGTTGTACCCCACTGGACATTTCGTGAACCAATTGCCAGAAGTTGGTTTAGTGACTGGTTTAAAGGAAAAGATGTCCGTGTCCTTTCCGGCAGTGCTGGAACATGGCATATTCAAAATTAGTCTCAACCTATATTTCAATTATCATAAATGTCAGCATGCAAGGGTTTTGAAGAATCAAGATTACCTACCACAGAGACTTGTACTTCTGAAACAGCCCGAAGAAACATCTATCTTTGTTTCCGTTTTCATATGCCCGTACTTCCTTCAGTGTAGTTTTTCGGTAGTTGATGCCGCCTTGATTCGTTTTACTGCTATCCTCTTTATACAGCAAATAACGATGTCCTCGCGCATCAAGATGTGGGCCAGTGATTTGGGGTTTGTTCCACAATCTTAAATTTCGGTGTTCCTTGCCTCCCCTCAGAGCAAAATGAAGGCCTGAAACAACTAGAACATAAACTTACTTTTTAGATACGGATCACCTGCATACTAGCTAGGATAATGAATGATCGCCAAACTAAAAAATATAGACACCAAAAGATTTTGTGCATTTTTCTGGCATTCCTACATAAAGCAGTGAATAACATGTAGACTGTTCGATGGTTAATCATTCACCTCAAAATGTTAACTGCCATACTGAAATCATTCTAAAACCTACATGTAAGATAGAGTGCTGTATCCAAAAGTTGTGTTGGATTGTCCTCTCCAAGACTGTCTTGCTCCCACAAACACTCCTCCTCCTCCTCTGTCGAAATGACGTCCGTTTTCTTCCTACTTGCAGCTCCCAAACCACATTTAGAAAGGCCCCTCATGCTTGCATCTAAACTATTTCTGGCTGCTTTAAATTCATCATCCTCAAAAATGTTTGAATTTCGACCTTTTCCTTGTAAACTTGACTGCAATGCTGAAAACAACTCATAGAGAGAATTTGAGGGATAGTTTGTGCCATCTGTTTTTCTTGCTTCAAAGACAAAATATTGTAAGGCGATGTTGATATTCTGTGGACTCATTTCTAGAATGTTTTCAAACAAACATGGAGACGGCATCACAAGATTATCTGCAACAGACCTCATGCTTCGCTCCTCTTGCCATCTTTAAAAACTCCTAAACCCCAATCATTGTTGATTTCGGGACACACATTTCTTTATTTTTTTTAAAGTTCTTCACTAGTAAGAGGCTTTCCAAAGCGACACATAAAAGCATTGTCTTCTGTCTCCTTTTCATCACTGTCCGGCGGGTTAAACGAAGATTGAGTACTGAAGATATCATCATCTTCGACTCTCATTTTGACTAACTGCTACCACCGCTGTCCAACGAAAATGTGACAGAACACCGCGTGATTCTGTTTTATGCACATTCTGCACGTGCATAACGTGGGCAGGTAGTGACACTCAACGTGATATAACGAAGCCATATGTTTTTCGTTGACCAGAAACACTAAAAAAAAATTTTTTTAAACGATATTCGGTTTATAAGCTAGATAAAACATTTCCCCTCGGGTTTTTATGAGATTTAAAACCCGTAACCCTCGGGATAAAGGGTTTTAAATCTCCTAAAAAAAACGGAAACAGTTTATCCTACACATAAATCAAACCACAAAGGGCAGAGTCAATTCCATGTATGGCGTTTTTTGACATCGTAGGTCATCAGGTCGCTCGCGCACGCGCGCACACACACACACACACACACACACAAACACACACCACCACAGTCACCATCGTCACCATCACCACCAAAGCCGTTCAGTGTTCGTTGGTGTTTATGTGTTAGTTCTTTTAAGAAATAACATTTTCTTTTCTCTGAAAGTTTACTGAAACTTGGAGGGAGGTCAGATGTCAAATCATGGATGACATCAAACAAGCTGGGGTAAATGAGGATAAAACCGAGGCTATCCTTATTGCTCCGAATTCCCGAATACAGAAATGCCAGGTTCCTAACATCAGGATTGGAGATACAAACATAGTGTTTTCCCCTGTGGTAAAGAATCTTGGTGTGTATCTAAATTCAGGGCTCAACATGGAGCAACACGTCACTCATGTGTGTCGTTCCTGCCACTTCCATCTCAGGAACATTGGAGCCATCCGCCATCTCTTAACAACTGATGCTGATGCCACTCTGGCAAGATCCCTCATTTTATCCAGGCTGGACTATTGCAATAGTCTTTGTGCAGGCATCACTTCTGAACAACTAGACAGACTTCAGAAGATCCAGAACAGCGCAGCAAGACTTGTCACTAGAACCAAATCCAGATGCCACATATCTCCCATACTAAAGTCACTCCATTGGCTTCCCACCCGCGAAAGAATAAAATTCAAAACGCTGTCTCTTGTATATTCGGCACTAAACTGTTCATCACCCTCCTACATGCAAGATCTTATAACACCCTACACTCCAGCGCGGCCTCTCAGATCTCAAGACAAAGGTCTTCTCAGTGTCCCAAAATACAAGTTGCAATCTTTTGGCGGCAGATCTTTCAGCGTTCACTCAGCTTCCCTCTGGAACTCACTACCTCTCCATGTCAAGTCATCTCCTTCCATCTCCATCTTTAAATCAAGACTCAAAACATTCTTGTTCAAGCACAACTAAATCTTATAAAAATTCTTCCTGTATATAGTGTACATATTTACTGTTGCGCAAAGAGCATGCCCTTGAGGTGTGGAGTTACTACTATACTGCGCTCTACAAATGTCCATATTATTATTATAGGTCCATTAAGGTAGATAGATGCTCTGGCTCTATCATAGCCGGTTTATTGACACAACGAATATGTGTCAGTCATTCTGTTTTAACACACTACTTGCAATGAACCAGTGAAATCCTGAGATTCTGAGAAGTATGGCATCCTCCATAGGTCACTTGTAGTGGACGGTCCATAATGTCATTAGTTTGCTAACGTTTTCTGGCCAATGGTCAGTAGTCGATGAATGATAAACAACATCTCACGCAATAGGTCTCATTGACATGCCAGCATTGCGCATACCAATAACTTTGCATATTAAGAACGAAATCAACTGATTTTCAATTTTATGGAATGCACGTAGTTTAAAATGCACGCCTTTGATCGAATCACGTGCATATCTAAAATCAATTTATGGTGCACCCTAAGGGTCAAAATAATTATACACAAATGATTATGATATGAATATAAATGCTTCAGTCCTGCCCCACAAGCACATGTGATACATTGTGGTGAAATATTTACCTTGCCTGTTGTCAGTTGAATATATATCTTACGATCTGGACATCTAGGTCACTCTGTTCACGAACAAGTTGTCTCAACGTCAGATCGGAATCAGTGCCTCAGGACTCATGACCATCACGAAGGACACTATCTTAACGGTATGTTGAATGCATTTAACTCAACACGCATTTATCCACAATGGTATTTTCCAGGTTGTAGTATAAAACAGTTCTTTTGTTCACTAAATATATGATATTATATCTATACATAGTTTCTCTTATTTACGTATTTATCCTCCTATTGTTTGTTTTCGTGAAGAACCGGCCAGACTCGCTGATTTGATTGATACATGTAATTTCCCAAATGCCGAGATCGAAATTCACTGTGTCGGTTAATGTTACGTCTTGCCCACTTTCCACTGTTTAAATACCCCATCATATAGCTGAAACAGGCTTGTCTGTAGCCCTACAATACATCAGTAACTTTTGCTTCATTGTTTGAACAGATCATCGGTACCCTCCTCACCTACGTTTTCATTGTGATCCAGTTTAAACCGGAATCAAGTTGTGGATGTCGACAGGCTGGAAACGCAACGGCAATATAGTATGACCGACGAATACTTGAGCCGTTCGTTATTCAGTGAGAGACTGTCATTTCTTGTAACATCGTCCGTTTTTCAACCGAATCGTGACTGAAACAAGTATATATTAATAATACTTTTAGACTATAAAACCTGTCGACAAAGAACAGGGAAAGAACTGGACTATCACAGATAAAGATTTAAAGCTTGTGTCTAAGCTGTAATGAGTGCCTATCCAAACCAATACAATATACACATGGGCTACGGTTTACCAGCATTTAAAATATTTTCTACAAGGATATTGAGTTGGATGTATACAATTTCTCATTTATAATCACCGAATGAGATAACAAGTAGTGTCACAGAGTGTATTGCTGGTTTATCTGTGTTACCAACGATGTGAACATGACTAGACAAACAACAAAAGATGTCATGTTGGCCAGTACCGAGATCACTGGAACAGTTATCTGATAATCTTAATGACAGAGACCAAGATCCAATGACGGTGGCGCTGGCAAAAGCCTCACCATCCTTAGGTCCATCTGTGCATATAGATGTGAAAGTATCATCTGTGTTTCTTAATTCATAATATTCTTGTTGATAAATACGATGATTTCTTTCAGATTCTCTAATTTAGTTAATGTTAGAACCACCCTGTAGATCTTGTAGAGTTCCTCACAGTCGTAAGCTGGACTTTATTGAATAGAACGTAATATAGATATGTGCTGTATAGATTAGGTTGTGCGCCACATAACGTTGTTTCATGGAAGGTCCTGCACAACAGATTCCATATTTTAACTATGAATCGTAGAAGTGTTAAATACTCCAAGGCAAAGTCTCGGGTCACCGTAATAACTTTAAATTGCCTTTACAGGCTCTGACATTGATGATTGAGCACTTTAGAGAGGATCATTGCTCTATATAGTTGCACAGTTTTTTCCCTAATGCCCTATCCTTACATGTTTGTATTGACGGGCATGATTTCACTTTTGCAAAAATATCCATTTAAGACGATACTTCCCTAACCCGTCACCTTTATTGTTGCTACTTATAACAAGAAAAAAGTCCTGCGAACATTTTGTTCCACTAATCTATATTAGGATGGTGGTTATAACATGCCCACCGGTCTAATATTATGCCCGTGGAATTTGAAATTGTACATTATATACAATCGTATACTTCATTGCACTTTGTGACAGGATATTTCATTTTGGACTTTCCCACATTATTATAAGGGATGATGTAAAACCAGCTTCGGTCGATGCAGGCAGCAAAAGTACTGTAAGACCCCATGGTCCCTAGAATGATGCTCTACCTTTAGTTGTTGACAGTCTATAGTCAGTTTTCTTATTGTATGGTCCCAAATAGGTATATAAACTAAAGACTAGTTTAATATTTCAGATATTGATATTCTAGTTGTTTTACTGTCCTTTGTCGAAATATATATTTATACTGTAATATTACCTTTTGTTAATGTGTTACCTGTTTTAGTCAAGATATTGCTGACATATTGCCGATGTAACTATAAATTTTAACTCACTCACTCACTCACTCAATCACATATTTTTTACGAAGGACGTTTTACTGTTCAGCCAGTAACATGCACTGTCATTAGTAGGTCTGTGTATATTTTATGTTTATGTTTTTATGTTTGTGTATGTTTTACGTCTTGTCGTATTGGACTGTCTTCTGAATTAAATGATGCACCCTGAATACAGGTGACTTCGAGTTGAGAATAGAATAATAACATGCAACTTGCACAGAGAATATCACATGTATTTATAATCCAGTCTGTTGATAATGTCAAAGGATTTTTAAAAATAATGTCACTACATGTACAGATGGTACTGGTGTTGTGCAGGGAACATTGACAGGAATCCGAAGACTGATTTTTTTTAATTTGACTGGTACTGAATGGAATATGTTCGATGACTGCCACATGTTCTGTAGATATAGTGACAATAGTCATTGTCCTCTCACAAGACACACGTCCACGAAGAGGTGCGTTGTGTCCTCAGTGTGTTGTTATCATTATTCTTCACCTCCTTGGCACAGACATGTTGGCCAGTTGTGAAGGTGTCCTTGGCACATTTAACATCTGAACTGTCAAGGGCGTTAGGCGACTAATCGGAACAGCCACCTGGACATGCAAATGTGCATGAAGTCACTACCAGTGACAGACAAAAAGGGCCATCTCAAAATCAGATACATCACATCATGCTTTGCCATTTAACGTGAAGCAAAAAGGAATACAAGGTAATATCAGCGATCATGTTGATTTTTTAAAATGCCATTAATCAGAACTGATAAATAATGGTCATTTGGTTGAAAAGCATAGCAATTGGCAAGGAAGGCAGAACGTATGATTTGTTATTTACAGAAAAGCTTGCACATATTGATTGTTGTCAAGGTATGAATCACAAATCATTTTCTACATCAAACTGAATCTCATTCGTCCTCAAGGTGTACGCCACTGGTCATGTGTCATGCTAAAAGAGGAAAGATGACATTTCTCCACGGAAGTGCTTCCCATCACAAGTATTGCCGTCTACACTTGAGACGTGGACGTCAATGTTCCATCGTGAAAATTGCCCGGGAGACTGAGCGTCTTTCACAAATGCCGTACATGCATAGATGTCTATTCGAGCAGCTACATCTGTTGCCAGGTATGGTACCGGCTGTAAGGGTTGCTGGCTTGAACCTGTTTCGTGCGTTGTTGAAACTTGATGTATTGTCATGACTCGTGGTCGGGCACTGACGGTCAATAACTTGATTGTTTTGCTGAAAACGACACCATATGCGCCAAGTGGTGTTTGCATATGGTTGAAAGGAGCATAATCATGCTGCTAAGTACCAAAGTGAAGCATATTAATACACATATCGAATAATTTATTTAATATATTTAGACTGAGAAGGAATGATAAGCTTCTGAGATCAAAATGCTGCAATAGAGTTTAATGAACCAAACTAAAATGAGTAATTTACAATATAAAGTACTTTACAATGTAACATTCAAAAGAAATAACTGACAATAATTCCCATTAGGTATAATGCCTCAGGTGTTGACTTATCAATCAGTCTAATTTGTCAACTATCAATTAACGGCTTATTGCAACTTCAGACAATTGGTTCCGTTTGTCGTGATGTTTGATTATGGTGACTGACATATTTGCTTACTCCCAATATCCCTTTTTAACGTTTTGTGGACCTAATGTGCATTCGGCGTTCTATGGTGACTGGAGTAACACATGGAGACAGTTACTTCAAACACTGTAAACGGAACCATCAGATGGCATAACTTACAAAGAGGCACAACGTACATTTAGTATCCAGTCTGTGGAAGATGTCCAGTGTCGTAGTCCTGAGCACGATGGGTGACACATCCAGTGACCGGTATTGGCCTTTGCTTGTATTATCGTCGATAGTTGGTGGCTGTACCTGTCTGCTGAACCATTCGTTATTGCTTCTGTTTTTGTCCATCTCCCTCCTTCTTACTTATGAGTATGATAATTGAAAACTGAGACTGTCTAGGGCTAATAAAGGATCTGTCAAAGAAGAAGATATTGAGGACATTCGCGGGTACCATGCATCTTTAACAGATCTAGTGGAACATGTGTGTACCCTCATGTCCAGACACGTCGCTGCTGGCTACGTCAGCTCCTTCCTATTTGTGTGTTTCTGCCTGTACAGCAGCATCAACGACGATGAATCCATTGCAAACATTGGTATTGCTGCAGCTGCTCTGTATATCTCTACATTGCATCTCATCGCCCTCACTTATATTGGTGTCAGACTACACGAAGCGGTAAGTGTTAAATTTCATTTTTGCCGAATAAATTAATATTTTCAGATCTATGCAGAAATTATTCGTATCATTGAGTATGATTGTAGTTTAATGTACAATTCAGGTTAACAATGTTCCCAATTAAGTAGTTGAATTATCTATTCATATTTAAATGACGACACCAATAACAGCTTTTTGTTTTCGTTATAGACATTGTGCAACTGAATGAAATCATACGATTTCCTATGTAGCTACTAATGGGGGTGAATATTGTTTGTGCTAGCCTTAGAATTGTGTTAAACTGCAGACTGTGTAGTTTGGAAGAGAAAAACATTCAACCTATCAGCTACCTTCGGAAAGCAACGGTCTTATATCACAGGTGGTTATTACTACAATGTTTGTTTACAGGCACACCGACCTCTGAATCTTCTCCTGGACATGACTGGGGAAAATATGCCTGATAGAGTTATTGGACTGGTGAGAAATTATTATATCAAATTAAGAGACACTTCATCTTTATCCTAAAATACATTTAAGTGTTTTATTAGAAACTGCGGAACGAGCATTGATTAAGTATATATAATATTATTTATGTTATTGTTATATGTACTTATGATACATTTCGGTGTGTCCTCATTATATTTCCTGTGTTCCAACTGGCTGAATAAAAACGATCACTATGGTATATGTAAGTCATGATTACGAAGTACATCTGGTGGCCACATTCGCTATATATACTTCGGCAACACACTCTGTCAGTTGTGTTTCTAATTAACTTGTAAACTGTATATTTCAGGCCAGCTAGAATCCCTTCTCGTTTAAACTGACATTCATTCACATATAAACTGAAGTTTCAGGCATCCAAACCTGCAGTGCAATACGGTTATGTATGCAGTATATAATAACTAACCAGCGCGACGGAAGTCTTTCCGAACATCCAGCTCAGTCATTCATACTCATCTTTCTGAATGCACATATTTAACGTTGTTATCCAACATGTCATGTATACGTTATTTTTTGTCTATATCAAGTTTTTCTTTCGATCTGTACACCCAGCTGCAGCTCACACTGTTCGCCAACAAGTTGTCTCAACGTCAGATCGGAATCAGCGCATCACGAAGGACACTATCCTAAGGGTAGGGTCATTACATATAGATCAACCTACAACAACCTACCTATCTTTAAGATAGATTTTAAGATGCTACGCTAAAAGATAAAAATTGCCGACAGGACTTTACTAGGCGATAAAGTATACTTTACACTGTATGGCATGACTTTACACTGTATGGCCGTCACAACGTCTTTCTTGCCTAGCCCATGGTTATCAAACGTAGCCTTGATAACCGACGTCACGATGCATGTCAGATATCATTGCCTCGTACAGTCTCCTACAGTAAACTACCCATTAGCGCCCCGTTTGTTGGTTTGCAGTTACGTCTCTCGGCTAACATCACCGGTGGAAACATTACGTTTAACTTTTTCTACGGAACATTAATATCTGAGCTCGATTCACAATTAAATAGGGACACGGCCATGTTAGCTAACTAAGCCTGTGTCCACAGTCCAACAATGTATCCGTGGAACGTCGTGTGACTAGTCAGCTTCATCTGGATTTACTGTTCTAAACTTACGTTGGTAATAGAAATACGACGTTCATATTGTTCCACATGGTTTACGATAATCTCAGAATTATTAAAAATAATAAATAGAAGATAATTAACCTAAATATAAACCGTCTTCAAACTGTTCAACACTAAGTCTTGGATTCTTGATAACGTGCGTGTTAACGTAGGGTCAACGTCAAAAGAATAGCACGTCAATTTGCCCTCAACGAGAATTGTTAATTTAGGTCACCGACATTGTACTTTTTCTGTTTGATTTCTGCTTTAGATCAATCGTTGGTAAGTATTAAATTTGGCATCATAGAAAAGAAATACAGTTCGCCGTACCCCAGGTATGGTGTAATACAGCACTGTACACTTTTGCGCTGAGCTATTAAAGCGTGGAAGCACTCGGACGCAAGAGTCACCGTACTTTAACTAAACTAGTTTCTGGCAAAAGTGTACTTTATTACACTATACATGGGATAGGTCGAACTGTATTTCTTAAACAGAATTCTTGTCTCTAACCAATGTAGCTCCATGCAACCCAGTTGGCAAGCCATTATTTATTAACCAAGAAGAACTCTCCAAAATTAGACGTAAATGATGCTCAGGGAATGAAGCTATTCTGTACTGACAGAAAAAACAAACATACTTCCCACTTTTAAGCACACGAACTAAATGGCACGTTTATCTTTTGAAGAAAGATGAAGCCATTGGTATTTCGAGAATGGGAACAACTCATATCAAAACCAATTAACAGGCATTATATCTGATAACAATAATGAGTCGGAAGAGATGTGTTTTTACCTGGGATTGGAAAAGCAAGAGCGTTTATATATATCCGAAAAAAGGTAACTTGGAATTATACAATTATCAGAAGGAACTTATTCATCAACTTAAACCGCTTGAGCGTGAAATAGCCAGTGTTTCAATCTCTATCTATCAGAAAATTCAATGTTGGCTTTTAAACTAAACTAATCTAAAGGTAAATGCCAATGTGGCCATTGAAAGATCATAGTTATCAGTAAAAGCTGTTTTACCAATACCGTGAAGGGCAATAAAGAGCTTCTCGAGGCATTTCAAGAAACTCATCCCTTGGGACTGTTAAATAAGTTTCATTTGATACTTAGTGTATGTATGCCAAACGTTGATCATTAAAGATGTGAGGTTAGGTGAACAGGGGTTTAACGTCACAATCAAGAATATTTCTCTCATACGACGATGTGCATAAGTGTGTATGTGTGGGTGCTTGCAGACGTAAAGTGGTTTTATAGTGCTAAGTCACTGAGATACCATA